AAAAAAAAAACCTGCTATGCTTTTCTTTTACATTATATCGGATTTCATAATATATTGACTTCTTCAGCTACGGTACAGGCGATGGGTTTTCCCCAAAGAACATGGGGTCCCGTGGACTGAAAGTTTACGCTTATGCGTAGACCTGGAACCTTGTCAATTTATTTGAAGCCAGGGTATCCGTGCACCGTGTAACACGGTGAATATACGGTGCATCACAGTGTGCCATTACGAAAGGTCACACGAAATTAATAAGAAATATTTCCTTTGTCTTTGTTTAAGAAATGATATCAACTTCCATAGGAAATAATTATTTTCCTGTATATCACTATTTGTTTCTAGCTAACACTGTTTACGCATTTATCAAAACATTTATGAAAACAAACTTATAAACAAGCAAAAATTGCATTCATCCAGAAACTATTCTTGTTTTCTGATTGAAATGCGTAAAAGAATAAAGTTTGATACTCTGATCTTTTAATAAAAGTTCTCCTATAGTCGCTTGCAAAATCTATTTTGTGCCTCCGATCGACACTTAGCAATGAATAATTTAAGCTATGGGACGGGACAAACACGCGGCAAAATGAAGCAGGGTTCTCTGCACGCTTGAGTGACAGTGATCGCCTGGTCGCTTAAGATAGCTTAGAGTGGACAAATAGCGAAGAACAACGAACACTGAGCGCGCCCAAGCAGACACAGAAACAAAAGTTCGCCTTTGGGGTTCGCTCTAGTACTGGGCTGTGTCCGATCTGTTCTGAGATTAGAAGGACAAAGCAAATAGTTAGTTGTTCTGGGCCCAAAGTTAAAACCGACTCATATGCATCAGTTCATATTATTATGTTTATTCAACGTAATTTTCTTTGTACAGAATAATCTATAGATCATAGTGTTTATTCTCAAATGATTTATAAATGTTAACTCCAGCAATATTCTGAGCATGCGACGCAATCGTTAAACCTGTCCATTTTCTTTAGTTGGTCTAAAGAAAATAAAAAAAGAAAATCCACTGATATTAATGTTACAAATGTCAGAATTCTGGATCGTTCTTCTTTTACATGTTGTATTTGTCAAAAAAAGAAAAAGAAACTCGAAGATCACGCCCATAACACTCATACAGACGAGCAGACATAGACAAACACGAAATATAAAGACATTCAACTTTAACGAAAAGGAAAGATAACATATAAATATAAAATATCAATAAGGCTGCCAGAAGATCGTTACTAAATATAATTAGTTACAAAGACAAGATCAATGTACAACTTGTCTGACGTATTAATGTTGTAAATGAAGAAAAAAACATGGATTGAATCTAATGTCGAATATTAGAATGAATGTGTTACCGTAAAGGCAAAAAAAAAGCTAAGGATAGGGAATTTGGAGGGTTTCTAACCTGATGTAGTGCACGAGTACTTTAAAAAACATGCATAAAATTTAGTACAGATAGAGTTAAATTCATCGGTCCATGATTGTTCACTGGTCAGTCATATAATTGTAAATGTAGAAACAGAAATCCACCTGTACAGATCCAAAATAAAAAAAAAACTCGCACATATATAATAATGATACAGTCTTATTATATTTGTGACATTAACATCTATCATCCAATAACAAATCAAATTCTATTGTAAGATATGACAATGGTTCTGAAAGACAAGGTTATGTTAGGTTTTGACCACTTTCCCCTGTTCTGATATCAAAAATATAAAAACATGTCATAGTTGCTAGTAACCAATGAAGAACATTAATGTTACTTGTTTTAAAACCAGCATTTTTTTTGTTTAAAAGCATACATTGGGACCACAAGATGGTGAAAAATTTAAATTTTTTTCCACATTTTCTCATGTTTGAGGGCATAAGCATATGTTCATTTTAATTGTTCTTTCGATAACAAGCACAATCTCAGATTCTATATACACAAGGTGAATTTCATACTGATCTCTGAAGTGTATAAATTTTGTACATACGGTCACTGAAATGTTCTACTTCCCTACCTTAATGGTGAACGAACTCTGTTCGAAAGGTGAAGAAACGCAGAGTGCATGGTAATTGAACGACGTGTGAATGCTGAACGCAACTTGATAAACGATGTTTGAACGGTGAGCAAATGCAGGGCGCAAACGCGTGCGCAAAGTGAACGGTGAACGCACGATGAACTCTTTTTTCGGAATGCCTCCGATCTTTTCCTTAACTGAGACTATTCTATTGTATTCTTATGTCAAGTGCTAAGATATTAATATCAATAAAAAGATAAATAGATAACTAAATAAAATAATTTTTCTGCACTTACGCATGATGTTTAAAATCAACATTTTGATAACTAAACTTTTAATGCTATAAAACATATGCAATTGCTATTGAACTCGTGAAGTATGAGAGATAAAATTATTCTACACCTCAGGCCCTTTGCAAATGGATCGAGTAAATAAAACTAAGGTTAATCTTGGAATTGGTTTCAGAATATCTCAAGAAGTATGCGGAATTACGGCATTAAATTTGGTAGCAATAAAGATTGTTTATATATGAATAGATTTAAATAGAAAGAAAAAAAAATGTAAGGGATTTGTTTTTAAGAATTTTATTGACGAAAGCAGGCACTCTATGGAAAGAGTTCCTTACCCCTATTTTTTTAACAATTCATTTTTTCTAAGCGACCAACAGGTCTGTGGTCCAGACGTAGAATAATTACTTTATTCTTTTAACTTATAAAAATGATATGAATTTTAGAAGAGAAAACTACTACTAATAAAACGAATTTATTACCACGCATTGTAACAACCTTCAATTTATTTCCGTGCTAAGATGATTCGGTGTAAAATAATGAATAAAAAGATTAGAATATTTACAAAGGTCTGTTGAGGTATTGCATGAATACACTTTTTTTAATATAAATTTTAAATCAATACTATATCAGAACTAGTTCTAAAATGTTTTCGTGCATTGTTTAAAAATACGTGTTACAAATAATATTTTCATATGTATGCTGTAATTGAAAAATCAATATACTTGGATTATTATTCATCCATTAACGGTTTGTCATCATTTACAGATCTTGCTTGATGTATTTGTACATTGTCCTTATCTAAATGAAAAAAAATAATACGGCCATTTGCCTTCAACTTTTTGGGATGATTCTTGAGAAAAGGGTACAAAGAGGGTGACAAATTTCATTGCTTTACAATTTTCTTCAAAGAATGGGTGGACTTAACTGGCCAGAAAAAAAGTCGTAAATTTAGGTTTCTGAAAATCTTTATTTTCTGGTCCTTTCTAGATTAATTTTAGTCGAACAAATCTTTCCTAACTTCCAGTAAGTGATAAATATTGGTGTGTAATAATGAAAAATATTAATACTAGAATCGAGAAAAACCAGAGTAGACATGTTCGAAAGCAAAACAAACACACAATATATTGTCAGTCCGTGCAGTTGTGGTGAACAGACTTCAACGATTGAACAAACCCTGTTAATCGTAAACACCAAACAATAACAGAGCTCTTGCCCTGTTTACAAAAACTGTGTACATAACACGAGTGTGATCGATTTGTAAAAACTCTACACAGCGGAATGACGATCTTTGTGAAGGAGTTTTGCTTTCTAATATTTCTACTCTAAATAAAATTATTTTTCTGGATATAAGTTTTAATATTTCTTAATAATACACATCAAAATTGCCCCTTTTCCTAAGAATTAAGAATAAAGTTATTATCTCAGAAAAGTGTAACTCAAACAAATGGTAACTTGAAATTAATTTTATTAAAGTGTGGCGATATTATGGGCACGGCTGTTATTTAGTTTCAAATGCAAAACAAACAATATCATATGGGCAATGGGCAGCCAAGACAAGAGCATGCCCCAATCAAATGCACAAACAACATTCAACATCAAAGCAAATCATATATCAAGGTCATTACCAAAGGTCAAAGTTCATATAGTGGTAAGTCAAAGTTCATACAACATCAAAAGTTCAAAGTTCACAACATCAAAGTTCAAAGTTCACCATATATATATATATAGAAAGCATTGACCCTGGGAGGTGCAGAGGTCAAAGCTTACAATATAATTACCAAAATGCCGCTTATACGCCAGAGGTGATATTTACGATATATTTATTACGAATTACATGCCGCTTATGTGCCTTCTTTACTTGTCGTTTATATATCAGTCACTGTTTAGGAAACATTGGCCCTGGGAGGAGCAGTGGCCAAGGTTTGCGAAAAGTTCATCTAAGTTGGTCTCCAGGTAGACTTTTTCTTGTAACAGCCGTACCATTTGATATTAAGTGATCCTTTTGTAGGACAGCTGCAATAGAAAGAAAAACACAGCGCAAAAATCTATTCGAATAAGGGTTGGGTGAGGAGGGTATTTTTCTAAATATCTAAATTTGCAAAAAATTATCCTTTAAAATTGCACCAACCTCATTCATATAGTCTGTGAATGAAAAAGGATTAACGGAAGTTGACTCAGGGGGAATAACTCTAATTGATTATAGGGATTATAGGCGGATCTATGGATTTTGTAATATGGGAAATTAACACTTTCTTCGATAAAAGCCTCCAATTCGAATAGAATTGGATGTGATATTATCTCAGAAAAGTGTAACTCAAACAAATGGTAACTTGAAATTAATTTTATTAAAGTGTGGCGATATTATGGGCACGGCTGTTATTTAGTTTCAAATGCAAAACAAACAATATCATATGGGCAATGGGCAGCCAAGACAAGAGCATGCCCCAATCAAATGCACAAACAACATTCAACATCAAAGCAAATCATATATCAAGGTCATTACCAAAGGTCAAAGTTCATATAGTGGTAAGTCAAAGTTCATACAACATCAAAAGTTCAAAGTTCACAACATCAAAGTTCAAAGTTCACCATATATATATATATAGAAAGCATTGACCCTGGGAGGTGCAGAGGTCAAAGCTTACAATATAATTACCAAAATGCCGCTTATACGCCACAAGTTCCCTGAGATGAGGATCAGAATAAACACTCATCCAGGGAACTCCGCCACCATGGTGGGGGTAGAGCGGCATATACGAACAGCCGTACCCAGGACCCTTGCTAATTGGGAAAGCAGGATTGACCATGCGCAACGATAGCCTCAAGTCCCCCCTGGAGAGAGTTTAGAAAAATGTTATTCCCCAACGAGGATAAGTGTACCCCATCCTGTAAAAATAAAGCTGGATCAGGTTTAATGTCTGAATGGCGAATTATTGCGCCCCCAGATTGCAAGACAATTGCAGCTATACCAGAATTAACCCGTTTGCGTGCATTTTCCATAGCTTTTAAATTTGCTGAATAGCGCCATTGGAGACGCGGAAGTATAAATGACCATATAATCCTACTGTTTCGAAAGTGATTCCTTAGAAATAAAACTAACTGCTTTGCAACCACCCTTATTTTTCTGATCGATACATTGCCCAAGTCATTCCCCCCACAATGTATAAGGATGAAATTAGGTACAGGGCCCACCTTTCCAAGAGTTCTAATCTTTTGTTTAGTTTTACTTAACTGGAGGCCACTATAACCCTGCCACCACAGTGAGATGTGTTTTCTTTCTAATGTCAAATTTGTACCACCTGGTCTTAATACAGCTTCCAAAAAGGCGTGCTTGATTATTGATGAACCCACCAACCATATTGTCTGTATATCTAAAATTAGATTAAAACTTTGGTATGCGAATGTAGGATTTGTAAGAATCAGATTTCCAACGACCAGATCTCTGAATGTCATGAGTTGAAAATCCTTTTAACGCGAGATCAGTACTCGCGCCGATACGAAAAGAGTGAGATTTGTATCCTGAGATACCAGGCAAATTTAGGTGCTTTACTGCCTTACAAAGTACCCCCGTAAATTGATATCGTGTGAGTGGGGATAAATCGAAGTGTCGAAATAATGGACCTGAACCCTCTGGACGGATGCTGACGTATTTAGTAATGAGCTGATATGGACATGCTACACCACCCTGCTTATCTATTTGAAGTACTGTGCCTTTACCTAACTGGTCCGTTTTCGAATACCGGATAGTCAGTAAGAGAGATTGCGTTTCGTGATTAATGGACAAATTGTCGAATTGAATTGTGTTTTGTTGATCACCTTCTCTTGTATTAACTGTTAATTCGCCAACTCTTAAAAATCCATGAAATGCCAGGGAAAATGCAGCCGAGAAAAGATCTGTTTCAAAAGCATTGGTACATATTATGGGCAGAACTTGAATAATATTTAGCAAAATTGTTTTCGTTATTGGCAGTCTAGTATCTACTTTATGTCTCAAACGTTTCATGCCCTGCAATAACTTTGTAACCAAGAACTCTGGGGTTGGATCGTGAACACTCTGCAATTTACAATAAAATGAAATGGCAGACAAGTATGACCTCACGGTACCATATGCGAGGCCGGATGATGATGAATGCAAAACGAATTGCACGACTGAGTTTAATGTAGGGGGCCATGGCGTGCAATCAATGAGTCTACATACTTTGTAATAAGCTGCCATTCCAGCCCGATGAGATTTATGTGTGTTTTCAGATACTGAGGCGTCTAAAAGTTTAGCAAACTCAGGCTGGAGATGATGTTGCGGAAAGATAGGGGCACTGGGCAAGGGTGTTCCCTGGCATGTGGAGCTGCTTGTCGGAATCTGGCCCACTGCTTACGAGAAATTGAATCAGCAACTACATTGTCTTTACTTGGTATGTAAACTGCACGAAACAGAATATTATAATTCATAGAAGCAAGGACAAATGGTCTAAGTAGTTTCATGACCCGCTCTGATTTAGAAGTGAGTTTATTTATTATAGCGACTACAGCTTGATTGTCTATATGGAGAATGATCTTTTTATTAGCGAGTTTGTTACCCCATAAATAGACGGCCAAGACCACCGGAACTAACTCTAAAAAGGTCATGTCTTTAAGTAGGTCATTGGACGCCCAGGTCTCTGGCCAAGGGTAAAAACACCATTCCCCTTTGAAATAAGCACCACATCCCAAGTAAGACGAACCGGAACTATCTGTGTAAAAATTAATGTTGTTGTCTGACGTCCACTCAATATCTAAAAAATACACAGTCCCATTAAATGATTCAAGAAAATTAATCCACATGTACAAGTCCTGTCGCATTGATTGAGTTATCCTTATGTGATAATGTAATTCTGAAACTCCTATTGTAGCATTATAAAGCCGACGCAGAAATGCCCTACCTGGTCTTATGGCTCTTGTAAAGAAATTCAGTTTACCTAAAACAGATTGTAATTGTTGGAGTGTCATCTTGCGTTGAACAACGAGATGGTGTAAAATACCCTGTAGCTCTAAGCATTTTGAATTGGGGATCTTAACTAGCATATGATAAGTATCTATCTCAAAACCTAAAAATGTCATAACCATAGTAGGGCCTTCAGATTTGTCCTCGGCAATAGGAACACCTATATCATCGCAGACGTCTTGAAAATTCGACATAAGATCTTGACAGGAATGGGCATCCCTCCCAGCAAATATAAAATCATCTAGATAATGATCCATTGTTGATGTTTTAGAGCGCTGTATCGTAGCCCACTGCAAAATTGTAGAAAAATCCTCGAAAACCTTACACGAAATGGAGCACCCCATAGGTAAACATTTGTCTATGAAATAATTACCCTGAAATTTAAAACCCAGGAGATCAAAATCGCCGGGAAATATTGGAAGAAGTCGAAATGCGGATTTTATATCTCGCTTACCTATGAAAGCCCCCTTCCCTAATTTAGCAATCATCTGAATCACTGAATCAAAGGATGAATATTGTACAGCAGTTTCACAAGGATCTATGTATGAATTTACACTACTAAACTTCGGGAAAGAGAGGTGCGTTATTAGACGCCAGCCCAAATTATCCCCCTTCGGCACTAACCCAATTGGAGATAACCTAAGATTAGAAATTGGTATTTTCGTGAAAGGACCCTGTATCCTCCCCATTTCAATTTCTTTATCGATTTTCTCTTTAAGTTCATTAGGATGATCGTCCGCGGATTTCAAATTATTACATTGAATTGGTAATCTAGGCCCATGATAATGAAGTTTAAACCCTTGAGAGAACCCTTGGATTAGGCGATTTGCTATGATTCTGTTAGGATAGTGGACGAGACATTTTTTAAGGGCGTGTACATTAATAGGCGTTGAACCTAGACGCCATAGATTGCGGGGTGCGGAATCTTGGTCTTGAGTAGGTGGGGCGCTGGGTGTTGCTGCTGGAATACCCCCTATAATTGGTATTTGCATTGGTTGAATACCCCTTATAGCTGGTATTTGCATTGGTGGTTTGTGGACGAAAACTTGACTGTCCATAGAATTGACCACTTGCATTTTGTTGGCGAAATATTTGTGCGGACCCAGTGTTTGAGGCTTGTGTAAGGCAATGTATCTGTGGATGGTTACTACCACATCGAATACAACTGTGTTTATACATGCATGGGAATTTGTCACAAGATCCCTTGTAATTGAAATTGAAGCATTTATCATTATTGGTTTTGGGTGCATTTGTTACGTTATAAGCGGGCCCAGAATGCATATACATCAACCATAATTCCGAGTCAATTTCACCCCAAGAAGACACAGGATTTTGCTCTTTGCGCAGCCTAAACTGCGTATCATATTCTTTCCAAGATATAGCCCCCCTGCTAACACCCATTCTTACGGTCTGTATGTACTTAAGTAGGTCAAGAGTCTTGGCGGGATGTGCACTCAAGTACACACTTGCAAATATGAGCATAAGGTCAGTCCATTGCTCAATATTTTCTACCTTTTTTGGGTTGGCATCTTTATAAATTATCTCACCCATACTATTCATAACTAATTTCTTTTCATCAGACCCTGATTTTGGTGTTACCAATGTGGCCAAATCAATATACTGCCCACTAATAATACGTTGTTTGACTGTGCTAGAAACATTCATACCAATCATATGTATTGATGGGACAGGAGCAGGGGTGGTACCAACATCTGTTGGAGTTGAGATTGTTGCTCCAGAGGTGGTCGGTGCAAAGGATGGCCCTGCACTTGTCGTCAACATGGGTTGCGCTTCCGCCACAACGGAAGTTGATGGAGCCTGGGTCGGTGGTATTGGTACATGTACTGGACATCCTGCCGACGCCGTCGACGAGTACGTCTGGGAATTCACAGACACCGTAGCCTGACTACCACTTGGCTGCTGTGTGGCAGTCGCTGCTGGTTGAGCCATTCTACGCTTCTTAGCTCTCGGTGGCATCGTGTTCAGAAAAGAAAAGAAAATTCTTTATTTATATATATATATATTATTTTTTATATTTGTAAGAAGAAATTTAAATTAATTATCTCCTCGTTCTCACATGCTTTATTATTTCTTTTTATAAAGTTACCCTAATTTTTTATTTATTTATTTATTTATTATTATTATTTTTTTATTATTATTATTATTATTTATTTATTTATTTATTTATTTATTTATTTTTTTTTTTCATCTCCCCTTGGTATGGAAATCTGAAACGTGTCGGATCAATTTATAAAACAAAGAAAATTTAATTAAGCCAAAGCAATATGATATAAATCCTAACGATCAAGATAATTGACTTAATAATCATTATATCTTATCACATACTTACATCATATAATCTGTTTTAATGAAAACTTATATAGATACAACGTGGTCGGCTAATACAAAATGGCCACAACAGACGCTAGAAAAAATTATCATTATAAAATCAAGGATCATCGGGAAATCATGAATAAATACTCGTAAATTGATTGCAGCAAACAACTACCAAATAGATAATAAAAACATCCATATGTATAGTACCCATTAACTATTTTTCTAAATATCTAAATTTGCAAAAAATTATCCTTTAAAATTGCACCAACCTCATTCATATAGTCTGTGAATGAAAAAGGATTAACGGAAGTTGACTCAGGGGGAATAACTCTAATTGATTATAGGGATTATAGGCGGATCTATGGATTTTGTAATATGGGAAATTAACACTTTCTTCGATAAAAGCCTCCAATTCGAATAGAATTGGATGTGATAAAATTTGTGAAAGTGCAAGGATTTGTCAAACAAACACGCCAAAAAAGTTTTTTTTAACTTTTTAATGAAAAAGGAATTTTCATTAATTTTTGTTTGAAATGCTATTAAAATATATTATTTGTGATATTATACAGACAATATTAACTTTAAATCTGTGTCCAAGTACCTTTAAAACACAGTCAGGAACAGCCAATCTTCAATTTGAAGCACTTGTAAACAAAATGAATTCATCATTAAAAATTATCATCAGAACGTATTTTATGTCCGTGTTGCACAACAATGAAATGAATTCCAGCGACATTTTTGAGTATTCAAAATTATTTCAAAATATATAATTTCCAGCACAGAATGGGTAGCTACATTTATAGTTAAAATCGTCGACCATCTCCCTCCAATAAATTGTGATTGTATCTTGTAAAATACATACACATTTAATGTAACGAAATTAAAGTAAGTAATTCAAGATAAATCTTTTAATGGTTCAAAGTAGAAAATAAATGTTTGACTTAACTGATTATTGTAAAACATATATATGTTACAATAATTTTAGAGATGCACGACTCTAATAAACAGAAGTTCCGTATATGTCACCATTTTAAAATCGTACATTTTTGATAAAATTGTATGATAAATATTTTGTTAAATACTAGTTTAAATGCAACAGTCTGATGATAAAAGCTCCACACCTGAAAAATATTCTTCCAAGATATTTTTGTATTGGGTATGAATTGAAATTTATAAAAGTTTCTGTAAAATACCTATAATAACACAAAAGGATAGCAACGTCCTTAGGAAAACAAAGCACTGAGTATTCAAAGTAATGCATAAAGTCAGCTTTGTAGAGAAAAATGCTTTAAAACAAGCAAATTAGTATCAATTTTTTTTTTATACTTATATTTTAAAGGATATGCGTAGTCATCCAGCTTTGTTCAGTAAAAACATGTAAAATGGCCTAAAATTTTCAGTAAATACATGAATTTCCTAAAACGGCCAGTAAATACATGTATTTACTGAATGGTTTAGGAAATACATGGAATTCTTGATTTCACATATTTACCGTAACAAATATATTGTTAATTTTGTATTCGGAATCAGAGAAATATATTCTTGCAATTTCATATGTATGAAATTCGTG